CAACTCCTTGAATGCTCTGAGTTCTTCTTCGTTGAATGTGATGGCTATTTTCCTTGATTGATTGGCCTTTACTTGGGCATTTTTACCTCGGGTAAGGTTGGTAAGTGGTTTAGCTAATTGTGAGAAATCCCTGATAAACCTTCTGTAATATGATGCTAACCCCAGGAAACCTTTTAACTCCTTCAAATTTTCTGGAATCTTCATTTTTTGTATTGCTGCGATTTTTTCAGGATCTGTTTTTATGCCTTCACTTGTGATGATGAAGCCTAAAAATTTTGTTTCTGCCCTCATAAATTCGGTTTTATCTAAATTCACTTTCAAATTGGCCTTCTCTAGTGTGTCGAAAATTTTCTCAACGTTTCTCAGATGTTCGTCCTCAGTCTTTCCTCCGAATATTATTACACCATCGATGTACACGTAGCATATTTTCCCAATATATTCTTTTAATAAGTCATCGATCATTCTCTGGAAGATCGAGGGTGCATTTTTGAGCCCAAAGGGTAGGCGCAAAAATTCAAATTTACCATTCAATGTGGAGAAGGCGGTTTTCATTATATCTTCGTCCTTCATCTTGATCTGGTGGAAGTCGGAAGTTAGATCTATCGTGGTGTAATATTTAGAGCTCCCTAAACTCGCTATTGTTTGAGTAATATCCGGTATTTTATATGCGTCGGATATAGTAACAGCGTTGAGTCTTTTGAAATCTACGACCATTCTGTACTTTCTTGTTCCTTTGGAGTCGCTTTTCTCTTCGACGACCCAAATTGGTGCGTTGTATGGACTTTTTGAAGGCCTGATGATACCATTCTCTAAAAGACTCTGGATTTGGTTGTTCACCTCGTTCCTCATGTTTACTGGGTATGAGTAAATTTTTTAATAGATTGGTTCGCTAGTCGAGGTTTTAATTTCTGCTCGAACTTGAGTGTCGATAGTTTCTTGATCGTTGAGAGGACCGAAGCGTTTCTGGTACTTGCTAAGAAGGCTGATGACCTTGTTCCTGGATTCTTGGTTTAGATGATCCATCCTTGTTTCGATGTTGTTCACTTGGGTCGATTTCTTGCCTCTTAGCGGTATCGTGATGTTCGGCGATATTTTCAGCGTGTTTTCTTTGCGATCGATGATTGCCTCCAGTTGTTTCAAAGTATCGTCGCCGATGATCCCATCGAATGATTTTAGTCATGGTAGTAGGAAGAAGTCTAATTTTGTGTTGTTGCCGTACGGTTTGTAAAGTCTCGCACTGACTTTTCGTGTAATAGTAATATCTCCTCCAGCTGATCGTATTGTAAATGGGCATACTGTCGGCCTTGGTCTCTTGGCGTGTTCTGGCTTTATGAAGTTTTTGTTTGCCCCAGTGTCTACAAGAAACTTGAGCATTTTGTTGTCGGCTGTGTTGTATACTATGTATGGAATGCTCGAGAGGCTGGGAGTATAAAATTTAATTCGTCTTCTTCTTCGCATTCCGATCCCTCTGATTCGTGCTCGTAAGTGGCTCTTAATTGTTCTTCATATTGTGCTGCGTCTTCAGAAGTTTCCAAGTTATAAAATTTCTGCTGCTTACGATTCATGTAGCTTGTGTCGCTTGGTCGTTTGAAATTTTGACTGGGCCGGTTTGAATAGTCCACCTGTTTGGTTTGTATCGAGTGATCCACTTCCATCGGGACAGGCGGTTTCGGTTGGCTTGGTCTGGCTGGTGCTTCTTCGTTCGTTCCCCTGAATGCGTATCTATTGCCGTTGCATGGCTGCTGGTAGTAAGTGCTTATCGGCTGTGGTTGGTTAAATGACGGTTTTTTCCTTGAAAGAGCATTGATTGGAGCTACCACTCTATTGGTTGAGCCCTTACTGTGTATTGGTATGACACGTACGCTGGCATTCTGGATTTCGAGACAAGAAGAATACGCCTCTGGTAAGGATTGAGGTCGCTGAATGATGAGCATTCTTGATAGATCTCCGTTTAGCCCTCTTATGAACACATCTAGGGCAGTGTTCCGATATGTTTCGCTTAGTGCTTGTAATGTGTCGATAGTGTAATTTTCGGTTTTAATTTTATTGATTATCAGCGACAGCTGATGATTGACGTTGACGTAGAATTCGTCAATTGTGAGGTTCTTCTGAGTTAGGTTGGATAGTTGATGTACCAGTATCCTGACATCTCGTTTATCAGCATAATGAAGGGACAAACATGCCTTTATTTCATCCCAGCTGTTGTCAAAAATATTGTGCAATATTAGAGCACCATTCGCAGTGCCTCGAATTTTCTGGCGAATGTTCTGTAGTATTCCTCTATATATGGGTTTGTGCTTTACGATTGCGTAATCTGCCAGTATGCTCTCGACGCTATGAACCCATGATACGTACTGCGTCGGGTTTCCATCGAACACTTGCAGCTCCTTTACTGCATCTGGCAATTTACAAATGTCTTTTAGGTCCTGCTCTGTCTTTGGCCCTACTGGTCGTGACGAGGAGGGTTGGTGCGTTGGTTTTCTTGAATTTTCTAATGATTCTATTTTAATTTGCAATGCTTTGATCATGTTGAGTTGAGCGTTAATAGCCCCAGTCATCTCTCTCATTGCATTTTGTATTTCTTCAATTTTTTCCTCCATATTTAATATTATTATATTTTTTTTATTTTGTAAATAAAGATTCGTTACTTTTTAGCTTAAAAAACATTTGTCACTCGTAAAGGTTTAATGAAGAATTCTTATTCTTGTGTTTTGTTGTACTCACGTTAGGAAAAGAATGCTTCGCATTGGTTTCCGTTGGATACGTCGTAGTGGTCCTTTTTAGCTTAGAGCGTTGATAATTGCGGTAAGCCTACTGCGGTACGATTGGTATCACTTTTATATGGTCTGCAACTAACTCGTTATGTTCCCACGGTGATAACGTTCTGTAGTTCCAGGTCCCTGCTACTCGGGCGCCAGTTAAGAAATTATAGTTCAGTTTCTTGTAAAAAAAATATTTTCGTGGACTAATGTCCGTTTGATTGAGTTAATGTATTTAATTATAATGACAAAACTTAATTGAACTTAATTACTATTTTTGAACATATTTATAGTAAATAATTGATTATTAACCAAAATATTACATTTATAAAGTTAAAGCTAAATTATAAAGTTAAAAATGCTTGTTAGGCATTTGTTGTCTGAATTATAAAAATAGAGTTTTCACAGGTAAATTGCTAAACAACATTCTCATGAAAATTATGCTGACCTCAGCGTCTGATGTAATGCGCGTGTATCATAATGTCTTAACTTGTATGTATGTATATATGAATATATGTATGTATGTATATATGAATGTTTTAGAATTGAATATTTTAGAATTGAATATTGAAAGTTTTCGTTCCAACATATGAACGTATATACATATGAATGTATTAGAATCGAAAATTTTGAAATTTTGCTGTTGGGACATTTAGAAATATAATTATTAATACAAACATACATAATTATGAATGGATACCTGTTTTTTTAAAACTGTGAATGAACATATAGGATTGAATTTTCCAAATAAAGAAAAGGTTTAGTCAAAAACAAAATAATAATTTTATTCAAATATTGTATGTATGTATATATGAATATATGTATGTATATATATATGAATGGATTAGAATTTAGCATTTTACAGTTTTTCGCTCGAACAATAAAAGTAAAATTTTAGGTAGATAGATACATACGTACATAAATTGTGTATGTATATTTTTTTTAAGCTTGCTGACGAAACATTATATTCAAAACAATAACAAATGAAGCATTAATATTCAGTTGCCACAAAACGTTTGTTGTCTTTTATAAAATCTGACATTTATTTAAGTTTATTTCGAATTTTCGAACTTATATGTGAGATCATTGTATTTTCGAATATTATTTATTTCTCGTTCTCGGTTTGTGTTTCTAATAATAAAAAGTATTATTTCATTTGTTGGTTTGCGTTTCTAGTAATATAAAGTATAAAAGAAAAAGGTGCTTTTGCCACCTGAGAAGTAGCTATATACATATATACATATAATACTTTATAATTAAAAATTTTTATAGCTTGCTAAAAGTAGTTCTGCTTTGAGACTGGCAGAATTTTTAACACTACAAGTGCTAAGTCTTTATTGTAAGAACGCTACGAGAGTTACATAAAAACAAAAAAAGAATAATGAGAGTACCAGTGTTGTTATTTTCAACTTGTTTTTCAGTAGCATATTGTCTAAAAAAAAAAGTAGTACGGAGAGCTTTATAACCTTAATACCAAACAAATAGTAAGGCATCTGGCTAAATAGATGCGTAGCAGGAAGTGCTTGCGTAAAAATGTTTTGTCTATTCGTACATGTAAAATCAAGTCACCCAAATGAGCTACGCGCCTGCGCAACGTATTGATATTTTCGACTTTGGCAACTGTATTGATATTTCCGTTAGGTACATTTTTTTTCTGTTTTTGATTGTCTTTTTTTGTCAAACTGATCTGGTTACTGTCAATTCACATATTACGTAAAGCGCGAACTTAAACATTAACAATATAAATTTTTTTGGAAAATAATTTTTAATTTTAGAAAGAAAATATTTTTATATTTTTAGATCTCTTTATTTTTGTGCAAGTAGTTTTTTAGCAATATAATAATGGTATATTCATAAACTAATTCAAATAATGAAATTTTAGTATAAAGGTAAAAAAGTAGCAAAAATAGCTTTGCAGTAGTATAGTAGTATGGAATACCAAAATGTAGTAAAATACTACAATTGTAGTAAAATTAACAAAACTGGAGAGTACTCGAGTGTGGTATGAGAGTTTTATTTGATTTTTGGTTAATTCTTTTATAGTGTTACTCTAGGAAATTGTTACTTAGGATGAAGCCGTGGTCATCGGAGGACCGATGAATATTAATGGCCGAAAAAATGAAGTATGTGGTTCACGTTATTTTATTATTTATTTTACAATTTCACGTTTCAAATTTATGGAATTAAAAGAAAAGTATATTATTGTTTTGTGATTTTTATTTTACAATTTTGACATTTGTAATGGCTAAAATTCCAATCCGTATGTACACACGAGTCTTCATCTTCTTTCATTATTTGAATTTTCATACTACGTTTTATCCTTCTTTCCTATATATTGCATTTTCAATTTTGTAGTTATGAAATTTCTGCCTTCTTTTTTCAATTCATAGTTTTTTGAGGTGAACGCTTGAATCCACTAACAAAGAAAAATTTTGCTGTCTTTTTTTTGTCATTTATTCATCGGATTTTGAACGATGCATATCTAACCAGAGTACAACACAAAAACAGTACAAAAATATTGTTTAGAATAATTTGTAAGTAATTTTTGATAACAGGGCTATCGAATTTTTGGTGGGATTGCACTTCTTCATGGTGGGGAAGTGTAAATAAATTATTTTTAGCAACCTGTCCGTCTGTGTGTGTACGCGTGTATCTCAAATTTGGCTTAATCGATTTTAATGAAATTTTGTAATTTTCCTTTTTTTGTTTGATGAAATAATATGTAATTTTACTTTGACAATGGCAATCTGATGTGGTCAGCACACACTTTGACAATGGCACAGATTGATCAACTTTTGGGGCCTGTTTTACATTTTTGATCATTTTGAAGAAACTATTCAACAGATTTACTTGAAATTTCATTCGAGCGTGCGCGGAACGTCGAAACTTTTGGAAGAAATCAGGTGTCAGTTACTGGATGTTTACTACAGGCCAAATATACTTTTTTGTATACCTATATATTAAATTTATAATATATAAATAATATATAATATATATTGTATATAAATTGTACATTTTTGTATATTTTGTGTATATAAAGAACAATAATTAGCCGATTTCATTCAAATTTAATATTTAAATTTGAGGTATTAAAACAATGAATTTATCAATTTTTTGGAAAGATCAGGGCTCGGAAAGTGATGTGGGGTCTGATTTTGCATATTTTACCATATATACGGAACGAATTGATAGAATTTCTTTAAATGTAATATTTTGGCTCTGGATGTAACCAGAAGTTACTGGCGAACTTTTCGTATAACTCGGACGGCAAAAAATGAAACTCTCTTAAGAGCTAAATTCACATTTTTCTGGGTATGTTAAATAAGAGCTTATTAGTGTCCTTAAAATTGTAAAAAAGTGTTTAAAACGCATTTTCATAATCTTCCTGGAATACTTTTATTAATCTAGACAAGACACATTGTGGTCGCTTATGTTCTGACCACATCAGATTTTTTTTTTGTGACAATACAAAGAATAATATAACATAGAAATTGTGTTTTTAGAATACAATATTTGATTAGTAATGTGCCATTCATAATACATGTACATTACGCAAATTAAATTCTTTACCTATGTAAACTATTTTAGATGAAAATCCAAAAATGGACAGTTGGAAAAAATCAGCGTTCCATCGCTGATACTAATTATTAGCGAAAAAGAAAAAAATATATTTGCGCATTTCAATAATGGAAGAAGTATGTATTGCTTTTTTTTTCATTTTAAAAAATCGCCTACTTTTAAATTATTCGCTTTTATTTCATATAAGCATTTCTTTCTTTAGAATTTTATTTCAGACAGACATGCATACAAAAAAGAATCCAATTTTTGATTAACAGTGTGAAACTAAAGCGGATTCAAAAATAAACATTTTGTTGAAAAAAGATAAATCGTCTGGTATCAGCCAGTAAGAGTAATTTATTTTGTTATTGTATTTAGTTCATTTTACACTGAAAAACCAATTATTTTATAGCAAAGTATATCTACTAATAAGTAGTTCGACTCTCCGTTTACATCACAAAAAATTCCCTTAGTTAAAAGAGTTAAGCATTAAGATCTATTGCGTACTCTTTCCTGCTTAACTTAGCAGGAAAGAGTACGCAATAGATGTCAACCTGTTTTTTATAATGTATTTTGAAAGGCGACACTTTATTATTTGCTCGTATATAAAGTATAGGGAAAAATATTAAGAATTTTAAAAGCGACACAATAATTTCTGTAATTCATTCCAGTACAAGGTGGCAAAAAAGATGTATTCACATTATAAAAGCGAGGCGGAAAAAAAGTGTTAAAAAAAAATTATTATAATTTATATGAAAAATAATAAAAATAAATTTTAATAAAGTTGGGTCAAACCAATGGCTTGTATTATAGCACTAGTCCCTTCAACAAGTGAAAATTCTGCTTTTAAATACAGTCTATGTATACCTATCACACTATTAAAATTATTTTCATTCATATACAAAACTATTTCTAGGATTGCATAAATTTAGGATGAACGATTTGTGCAGCCTTTGAAATAAAGCAAAAATTAATTTTAAGAGGAGTTAATATAATGCTCGATTTTAAGGGTTAATTGTGTGAGTTAAGAAAAATAATTATACTTTTTAATGGCATTGAATTTATCGTCAGCTTTCTGCGTTTATAGATATTTAAAAAAGCTTGTGGTTTTAAATTTCTATAAACTAATCTTGGATAATTTGAATGGGAGGGAGGTGAAAAAACATTTTCTTCTAACGAAATGAACTATTTTTAGTGTCTAACAGATGTGAAAATTTTAAACTCCTACAATGTACGGTGTAGAAGAAAAACCGTATCAAAATCTTGAAAAAAACTGACTTCAGATAACGGTAAATTTATAGTAAACGGCAATTATAGTATGGCGGGATAGAGGAAGCCGGCCAATATATTTACGTACAAAATTTCAGCTTTCTATCTTCAAGGGTGTGGGGGTTTTGTAAACAGGCACACGGACAGACGAACGGACGGACAGAGTGAAACTAATAAGCACTTTTTTTTCAAAATTTTTTTTGGAAAAGTGCTGAAAAGATTGAATTTTATTTTTTTTTAATTAAAAATTTGAAAAGAGTTAATTTTGTGGGTGATTTATGATGTTAAAAAGGGCGCTCTATTGATCCCATAAGAATACGTGTAAATTCAGCTTTGGTCTGACATCACAACTGTGTAGTCGATTAAAGCGAATCTCTTTTGTTTATAACAAATTAATAAAAGTTTTGATTTAAAATAGTGACAAAAATAGTTTAAATTTAAACAAAAAATAATAGTTGAAGATTAAAAATTAAAAAAATCTATTAAAATAAGAAATAAACATGAGTGAAATTAATATAAACAAAAATTTGGATAGTGAAATAATTCAGAAAATGATCTGGCTGGTTTTATTAATCAACCAATCGAGACTAAAAAATCTAAAATCATGAAAGCTAATAAAAGTAAAAAATTGAAAAATAAATATTTAAATGCAATTAATGAAGATTTAAAAAAAGAAGTAACACAATTAAAAAAAATTATAAAAAATTTGGCAAAATCTCGAAATAAAAATGATATAAATGCACAAGCTAATAAAAGAAATGATCATGATATGCAAAATATATACGAAGTACTTTCCGAGGCGAATGAGACCGAGTATATGGAAGAAAGCGAAATAGAAAATCAAAGTGAAATAGATAGTGTAATCAATAAAGCACAACAAAAAAATTGACGAAAAATAAGCTTAGACAACAACCAAATAATAATAATAATAATAATAAAAATACAAATAAAAATTCTAATGTTGAAAAAACAACTGATACACAACAAAATATAATAAATAACAATAAAAATTCTAATCCCTATAAACCACATAACATTGACAGAAATGTAATAAATAATAAAAATAACAAAATAAATAAAACTCCCCCAATTATAATATATGACCAAGATATCCAAGGCCTAAAAAAATCTTTAAGGAAAAACTAAAATTAAAAGAATTTTCATTTAAAAAAATAAATAATAAAAATTATTTAATACGGCTAAATAATAATAATGATTATACTAATATTAAAGATATTTTGCAAAATATACCAAAGAGCAAAAAATAAAACACTCATATTGAAAGGCTTAAATGTCAATGATGTGGCAGGAGAAATAAAAAGTGAATTGATATCTCTAAATATTAAAGATAAAATAGTTAAAAAAGTAATTAGGCTAGCAACAAAAAAATCAATTCGTGATAATAACACTTTACCAATATTTATAGTTCAGTTTTCACCAGAAACTGATATGTCATTAGTATTTAAAATACGAAAATTAAGAAAGAAAAAAAATTGTAAGTAATAGTAAAGGAAAGAAAAATTGTCCTGTGCGGTATGCAATAGTAGTGGTCACCCAGCTACATACCGAGGATGTCCAAAATACAAGAAATTTTTGAAAACGAAAGCAGAAAAAAAAGGTTAAGTAATAATTTATATAAAGAAAAATCTGTAATAATTAATAATTATGTACAACTTCAATTAACATATGCTAGGACATTAAGTAATAAGTATAATGAAAAACCTATGAATAATAATATCAGCAATAAAAAAACTGAAAATAATATTACTAAAATAATTCGAAATAATGAAAATACTAACATATTACTAGAATTAAGAAAAACATTAGAGCTAATAAGTAATCAAGTAAAAAGTATAGAACATAAAATAAACAACCATGAAAAAAAAAATAGATTTTTTATTAGAAAACTTTAATAATTATAATGACTAGTTCAAATACAATTAAAAAATTAAAAATTATAGCTATTAATGTTAATTCGATAATATCCAATAATAAAAGAGCGTATCTTTCGCATTTTCTTGAAAATTTCAGACCAGATATTTTACTAGTAACAGAAACTAAATTAAACACTATACATAAATTAGGTTTTAAAGATTACAACATGATAAGAAATGATAGACAAACAGAAAAGGGTGGGGGAACCGCTATATTAATAAAAAAAGATATTCAGTATTTACAAATTAATAAATATGAAATAGACCGCTTTAAATGTTTGGAAATGAGTATAATTGAATTTAAGTTAAGACAGGGCCAAAAGTTAAGAATTGCTTCAGTTTATGCAGATCATAAACATGCTGATCAATTTGAAGATGAATTGAATAAGACTTTTGAATTATTAGAAATGGATAAAATTGAAAATTATTTTATAATCGCAGGGGATTACAATGCGAAACACAGGGATTGGTCAAATGGAATAAGCAATACAAGGGGGAACATACTAAAAAGGTGGTTAAATAATAATTATATATTTTTAAAGCAAAACTGTATGGAACGCAAGAGCCAACATATCCAAGAACCAATTCCTTTTTAGATATTGGTATTATCGATACAAGACTAAAACTTGAAACAAATTATAACAATAAATTAAAAACACTTCCTTATGGCAGTGATCATAGTGCGATAGAAATTATTTTAAACTTGGAAAACAATAACCTATTAATATCGGAAATAAATAAAAATGCTTATAAATATAACTATAAAGCGACAAATTGGAAAAAGTTTAAAAACGTTTTGCATAACAATACGATAGATATCAACCATATAATACCTAATAATAGAAACTTATATAATACAGAGATAGATAATGGTTTACAGTATTTAGAAAATAAAATAAAGGACACAATAGAAACCAATGTAGGAGCACGATACCATTTCAAAATATATGAATTATAAAATCCAAAAACTTCAAAAATATAAAAGTACAATACTAACAAAATTAAAAAAATGTTATAGAAACAATCACCTTAATGAAATTAGTAGATTAAAATCTATACTAAAAAATATTAACACTTTCATAAGTCAAAATATAAATATAGAAAAAAATAAGAAATGGGAAAATACTATAATATGATTAACGTAATTAATTTTAGCGAAGAATTCAAAGCAAATAAATTAAGTAAAAGTCAAAGGCAAAATAATTATTTTACAACTATTAAAGAAATAGAAATATCTATCAAAAATATAAAAAACAAAGTGGCAGCTGGAAATTATGGTATACCCAACACAATTCTAAAGAACTTACCAACTAACATAATTGCCTGTTACTGTACAATTTTTAATAATATTTTAAATAATTTTTATTTTCCAAAAATATGGAAAATATCTAAAGTTATTCCAATAATCAAATCACGAAAAGAAAAATTTGACCCAAAAAACTTTAGACCAATCAACCTATTGCCGAACATCAGCAAAGTGTTTGAAACAATAATTAATGAAAAACTTTTAAAAACCATAAACACAAAAAATATTTTACCAGGAAATCAATTCGGTTTCAGGAAAAAACTTTCTGCAGTACACGCAGTAAACAAGTTAACGTCAGATATTTGCTAGGCCATAAACAACAAACAATGTGTAGGTGCATGTTTGATTGATTTAAAAGAAGCGTTTAACACAGTATGGAATGATGGTTTAATATATAAATTGATTGAATATAATATTCCAAATAATATGATCAAAATGATTAAAGATATGATTGAAGAAAGAAAATTTGTTGTGCGAAATGGCAAAAATTGTACTAATAAAATAATTAAAAATAAGAATGGATTACAACAGGATACTGTTTGTGCTCCAATTTTATTTAACATATATATTAGCGGTCTACTCGAAGGATTTAACCAAAGAAATATTAATATGCAAAGTTTGATCATTTATAATAGTAATATAAATGCATCAAGAATTGAATGCAAGTTACAAGAGGATTTTAACGAAGTACAGGACTATGTTGGCTCTTGGAAACTAAGAATCAATTATAGTAAATATGAAGTTATACTATTTAGAAATAGCCTAGATAAATGTAATAGAGATGTAAGAAAAAATTGGAGAAAATTTCACATTAAAACAAGAAACAACATTGAAATCAAAAACCAAAAATCAGTAAGATACTTAGGAGTAAATCTTACGCATAATTTGAATTGCAAATTACATATAGAGACACAAATAGACAAGGCACGAAAAGCATTCATGGCATCAAAAAACTCTTTTATTCAAAAGATATTACCACGAGAGTAAAAGTAAAATGTTATCAGGCACTGATAAGACCTATAATCACATACGCTAGTACGAATTGGTACAACGTAAGCCCATCGTGTATGGAAATGGTAAGAAAATTTGAGAGAAAATGCTTAAGATATTGTACAGGATAAACGTAAATATATTGGAAATGATGAAAAAATCCGAATAATTTATCACATAATCAGAAGGTCCACAAAAAAAAAAATTGAATACGCTCCAAACTTAAAATATGTAGAGAATACAGAAGAATTTAGATATGATTTCTATCTGACTAGAAGAGATTCAAGAAATCTAAATATGTGTTGGTGGTTAGTAACCGATTAGGTTTTAAGAGTAGGTTAGTAAGATTAGAATAGGTAGAAGTAAGTTTCATTATAAATTAAAATTTAAGAAATTTGAATTGGTTTTTTAAAAAAAATTTCCCAATTAAAAAAGTAATGTAAATTAAAAAAAAAAGAAAAACAAAATGTTATTAAAAAATTATAAACTTATAAATTAAAAACTAATAAAAATAATTATATAAGTATTTAACTTTGTGCCTTAGAGTACGCCAAAGTGCGTCATTATGGTAAAATTAATTGAAATATAATTACATTTTTTTTAATTTTATTTTTGTAAAATACATGTAAAACACAGAATATGGATTGAAGTAATAAAATAAAGTGAAAAAATAAAAAAAAAAAAACTATTTCTAGGATTGCATATGTTTAGAATGATGAATACATGCAGTCTTTAAAATAAAGCAAAAATTAATATAAGGTGGGGTTAACATAATGCTCGATTTTAAGGGTTAATTGTGTGAGTTAAAAAAAATAATTATATTTTTTAATGTCATGAAATTTACCGTTAGCTTTTTGTGTTTATAGAAATTTGAAAAAGCTTGCAGTTTCGGAAATATAAGGTGTCAAAAATTCAAATTTTACAAATTTCAAGAGGCGATAACTTGAGAGGGGGTGGAGATGGAAAAAAATTTTCTGACGAAATAAACTATTTGTTAATGTCTAAAAGCCGCTAAAATTTCAAACTTCTACAAGCCGGGGTCTAGAAGAAAAACGACATCAAAATATTGAAAAAAAAGACTTAAGATAACGGTAAATTTGAACGGCCATTTTGTTTTTCTAAACTATAGTATACCGCGCTAGGGGAAGCAAGTCGCTGCCTTTATGCGTTTGCAAAATTTCAAAAATGCTAATGGTTTCATTGCAACAAATAGTTAAAAAAGGCTATTTTTAGGGTTCGTATAACTTCTAGAGGAGGGTACAACTTCTAGAGGGGGGGAGATAGGTAAAAATTTTGTTCAACGAAAATAAGTTTCTAGTAAAGATCTATGTACGTACAAAATTTCAGCTTTCTATCTTCAAAGGTCTAGAAGTTTTGTAAACAGACACACGGACAGGCGGACGGACGGACGAACGGACAGAATGGAACTAATAAGGACTTTTTTTCAAAATTTTTTTGGACAAGTGCTAAAAAGACGTATAATATTAAAAAAAAATTTAAATAGTTGTGAAAAACAATATTTTACAGTTTTTTATTAAACTTGTTAATGATATTTGTACAGAAAAAAATTTAGAATGTAAAATATATGAACACTTAAAAAATAATTTCAATTATGAACGTTGTGAGAAGTCCAACAAAACATATTTCATTAAACTGTATATTAGAATTAGAATTTACCACATAATAAAAAGTTTTAATAAAACTATAAAAATTTGCCTTACCGTTTGTAACGCTAAGAAATAACGGTCTTAGATATAGACTCAAGTGTATGTTTTTGATCAGCGTCAAATTCTGAGTTCATTTAGTTTTGTCTGTCCGTCTGATAAATCTGACGGACAGAATCAATATGTCTGATAAAAGTCGTTGAAATTACTTGGCTCCTTCTGGTACCTGCCATACAACTTCAAAAGTTATTTGAATATATCTCAGAAACTATAAAAGCTATGGTATTGAAATTTCACACAAACGAATATTTTAATAGGGCCAATGTGTCTCATAAAAGTCGTTGAAATTACTTGGCTTCTTCTGGTACCTGCCATACAACTCCAAAAGTTATTTGGCTATATCTCAGAAACTATAAAAGCTGTGATATTGAGATTTCACACAAGTGAATATATTAGTAGGGCCGATGTGCTTCATAAAATTCGCTAAAATTTCTTGTCTCTTTCTGGTAGCTGCCATACAACTTCAATAGTAGTTTGGCACGACCAGTATTTTGAAAAACACATAGTACTGAAATTTTGCATAAATTAATATGGTAATACGGCAACTTAAAGTCATAGTCTGTCCCATAGTTAGTTATGGCACATTAGTTATTCGCACATAGGATAACAAATTCGTACGGGTATCACAGAGTTGACAAGGTCAACTCTACTTTTTTTCTCGTTTTTTATTGAGATTGTAAATTTTTAGATTTTGATATTTTTCTCAAAAGAAAGTTTTTCTCTAAAGAAATAATATAAAGGAAAAATTGAATAAATATGTACATATAAAAATAATTCAAAACCATAAACACGATAAAAGTGATCGAGATAGGTGGGTGATGTCGAACTACAATGTAAAATAATGTAGTTAGTTAGTATAATAATCTATACAGTAACATAGTTAAAAATAATCTTTATAATATAATATCTCTGTGAATCAAAAGTGGCTAAAAATTTTTTTTCAAAATGGAAGGTGGTACAGTTAATTAATACTAAGATTTTGCAAAAACTACGTGACACTTTCTGTTTTAAGAAGAGTAGCATCTTTAAATAAAATTCTTTAAAGATTATGACTTACACACTTTCAAATTGGTCAACGTTATAAATTTGGAAAGATTTAATTTTTTAACATTTAATTTTTTTTGTTCCTAAAGTTCAGTAAAAATATTTTCAAACATAAAAAATTTTTAATCGAATCCCTTTTTGTTTTTCACGCTTTGATTTAACCTGAAACTGAAAATTTTTAAAATGAGATTATTTTGAAGTTTCGTGGATCGTTCGTAAAACCTTTGAATCTGAGAAATTATTGAGCTTTAAGATCTATTTTCAAAAATATTTTTTACGTATTTTCGATTCAATGAGGAAAACTGCCAAAAATATTTATATATTTGTAACTAAAATTTTGAATTATTTATTTTTTGGATTGCTGTACAAAATTAAAAAAAAGTGCCATTGTTTTGTCTATGGTACCATGATTTTAGGTTTCCTGTACCATTTTTTGGAATCCAACTTATTACAGCCCTGTTTGGCCCTTAAGTTAAGGTAATTATTATTGTTCTATTCTAATAAGAGCTATGCATATAGCATTTATTAAGATTTGTGTTTGACAGTTTTCCAGAAAACTTTTGAAAAGAAGTTCTTATTAGTCTCATTGTATACGCCCATACGTCCGTGCGTCTGTACGTCCGTTTGTCCGTGTGTCTGTTTACAAAACTTCTACACCCTTGAAGATGAAAATTCAATATCAAGAAAATTCAATTCAAGAAAGCTGAAAATTCAATATTCCATATTCAGGAAATGATTAAAGAAATAATTTTTAAATGCATTTTTAATATTAATTTATTATTTTTAAGAATAACATTTAATTTTGTGATAATGATAAGAAATATGTATAACATTATAAAAGAACCACTTGGATTAGCCCACAAATTACATTTTCATTTTCATGCAATGCTAAAGTGACGCAACGTAACCCGCAAAAAAACCTGATTTTTTAAAGTTAGAATGAAATAGTAATAATTCACCTAAAGTATGAAAAAACTGAGAATAGCAGCATATTGCTTTAAGTCAATACAAATGTAATACTGTTTTTTCATACTTTAGCTGTAAAATTTCGCTTTTTTCAATTGTATTTTCTGCAAAATAATGTGAGTGTGGCATGTGCCACTATGCTTCTGAGCCTCCCTTATAGCTAAACTGTTTTTGAAAACACTTTTCGCTTGTTAAAGGGAATAGTGCTACGTTGCAAACCATTGACAAATTAATGATTTTAATTCAACTTTATTAAATTTTTGACTTTCATTTTTTTCTAGTTTAACATGTCTTATAAAAATAATATTAGGTAAATATTCCTATGTATAGAAAATAACATGTAGGTCAAAGTGTAACTATTGTTTTTTAAGTCGTCAGTAGTTTCTGTTTTTGACCTCTAAAAGCTATCTGTGGAGTACGTCTTTATAAAAATTCATAAGAATGATGAAAATACGGAAAACCCAGTAATACAATTCTTTCATTTTTTAGATTTACAATTTTTGTTTACGACATCTGTTGGCAATGTTTTCTACAAAACTATTGAATGTAAACTAATTTTTTTTTTGTAATGTACCCGTTAAAATAGCTCTCAATTACGATTTATTGTAAATCGTATGTAAAATATATTTTTTTAGTTTTTCTTGCCAGCCGAGAGAAAAGTGAGTAACTGTTATATATTTGTATAATGTAACGTTCAGTCAACCATTTAAGCAAAAACCCAATTGAAAAAATTAGTAATCTTATTAGAAAAATAAAATACAAATTAGAAAAATGGAGAATTCTGATTGATAGTGAATATTATTTTAAAAATAAGTATGTAAAAATAATTTATAAATTCGTTTAATTTCACATAATTTGAATCAATTCGAGCATCGCTTAATTTAAAAATTGTCTTAAAATCACAAATTCATGGACATTCTTCTACGTGATATTAAGCGTATTCGACTTAGAGTTTTTGAAAGTACGTAATTTATTGACTAGTCATTTTATGGCTTTAGCAAAACTATAAAATAACTGATAAATAATTTCTCAAACGTTAACGTTATTTATAGTTTTGAA